ATTGGATGTTACTAATATTAATGAAAAATTGAATAATGAGAATGATGGTTGGGATAATACAGGGAAACATGCTAATGGTCTAGTTGATAATGGAGATGAAGCAGAATTGAACAAATTGGATGTTATTAATAATGATGAAGAGTGGGGTGATTAGAGATGGGCAAATGGTGTATAGTTGAACACTATACGATACTTTACGATACTTTATGTATAGTGCATATAGTACGTATAGTAGTGTTGAAATTTGATTGGGTGATTTTCAAATAATAAGAAAAAAAATTTTTGGCTATTATGATAAGCATAAATCTTTAATTTATTCGACCTACACTTTTTTAGGTTTTATTTACGAATCATTAATTATATTGAATGAATTAAATATCATAAAAATCAAACTGCTTTCATTTTTATTTGATTCTTCAATAGCATTTTCATCAATTTCTCAATTACGTTGTAATTTATCTGTATACTAGTATTTGAAGTATCAAAATGTTCTCCAAAATAATTTCTTTTAGTTTGAATTGTGGCATTTGGACAAAGGCGTAAATCATCTAGATACTAGACTAGCACATTGGTATTTGGACTTTTGCAATATAGACATTCAAAACGTAATTGCTTATAACCAATTAGCATTAGCAATATGTTTAAATTCACTTTTGGCAAGTCATGACAAAATATATATATATATATATATATATACTAATATATATTATTTAATTTTCAATTAATTTTTGTGTGCAACATTACATCATATTATTTGGCAGGGATTGGTTTACATTACTATATACTATATTAATATAGTTATAGAACTATACGCACTTTACGTATATTACCGATCTGCCCATCTCTAAAAAGGACAAAAGGAATTACAATTTAACCCTAGATGTGGGTTTAGTAAGCAGAATATTATTACATAATGCGATAGATAATGATGCTCAATTTTTAATTTCATCTAAATTATTATATTTTATGTTTTTCAATTAGTTATGAAAATAAAAATAACTTTAATACTATTGTTATTGGAACACGCGAGTATTTATTTATTTTATAGTGTAACATTTGAAGAGTCAAAAGTGGACAAATGGCTTTTGTATATATTAATATATAGTACAATATTTTGCTTATTGCGGTAATGAATTCGTCTATGATTTAAATTTGGTTAGTTTACGCACGCAAAAAACAAATTTAGAAAGTATCAATAACGCGTATTTATTTATTTAAAACTGTGATTCGATTTTTTTGTTTACAAAAAGAATTTAAGTTTTATAAACATCAAATGAAGAGTAGATTATAAAATCAATGGCGCTTTTTTAACTGAATTACAAACTATTTTCTGGCAAACGACTTGTGACATACTCGTGAAAATCAAGTATGTCAAAAGTATGTTTAAGTGTAAATTGATAAATTGGTCGTTTATTTATATTAACAGTACTTTAAACAATTTCTCGCAATCATCTACATATTCTACTACATCACCTTCAACTTTTATTTCGAATTTACACAATAAATATAACTAATACTTTAAGTGAACCGTCCATAACAAAGCAGAGAGTATGTAGATTTCGAGTAGAGTAAATATATTTTATAAAATTCAGTATCACAAATTCTCTAGCACACACAAAATTTGTCATATACGATATTGGGAAGAATTGGCTTTGACAAAAAACTTCATTATTATTACATAGTGTGTGATTATATAAAAAGATTAGTGATATATGCAACTTTATTAAGATAGAAAATTATGTAACAAAAATAATTATTTGGTAATCCAACTATTCAGCGTGCTTTGTTTGCATTTTTTAGAGTAGTATTCTAGATATGTGGTTTTTAATCGTTTTTGTTGAATTAAATTCAAAAGATAAGGGTTTCAGGTAGATCTTTAATATAAGAAAGAACAATTTCTAAAGATTCTAATACTTCTTTTGTAGTAATTCTTTGTTTAACAATCGATATTTCAGCTGTTGGTTTGATCTTACATGATTAATAATTCTTTAACAAGAATTATATCGTCTAGAATTACTCAAGTGCTTGGTCGAACAATATCAGGATACTCCGCGGCTTCATCCTTTCGGTTGATAGATAACCGCTTATCTTTATCTTTTAAAGTGTTGCAAACAGTAAGTTCTGCAATTCCAATTTTTTTGTCCAAGTTCTTTATATGTGAGCGAGAGATTTCTTCCATTAAATTCACAAAGCTGTTTTTTCTCGCCCTAAAGGTCAAAACTTTTTTTGTTTGATTGATCAATTGACGATGTTTTTATTTTTGTTAAATATCGAGAAAGTAAATAATTTTTAGCTGAATAGTTTTTATAAAAAACATTGTGCATTTCCTAATTCTTTGAAAATTATATTTTTTTGCAACACATTACTACTAAAATTCAATTATTTTGTTTTCGCAACACATTACTAAATTCAATTCCTTTATTTTCACGCGATACATTACTAAATTTAATTACTTTATTTTCATGATTACTTTCCAAATTTTTATCTATAATACTTTAAAAAAATTTTGCGGCAAATTACTAAATTCAAACTCATTTGTTGTTGGTTGGTCATACTATTATTATGTAATACGATCGACAAATTATCGAAAGATTTTTTTTATCTGATTAATATATAATTATAATGGAGCGAGAATTCCGACTTCCATTATATTGTTACTATACAATATATACAATAGTTATCGGTTTTGTATATGTATTAATATAATGTTGTGCTGGTTCATATTACAACATAAATTTGGCAAACTGCCTTGTTGATCTAAAATGAATTTAATTGCAAAATTTTTTACAAAATCTTTATTATTTAAATTGAATGAAATAATAAATTTTAATTATTTTGCAAAAATTTATACTGTAAATGCCCTTAAAGCATACCTAAAATGTACACGAATTCTCTAAACTTGAAACATACTTGAAGCATACTTGAAATATACTTGGAAAAAAAACCAAGTAACCTTTTAAGTATATTCAGGTACATTTTAAGTGTGCCGAAAAGTATCTTAAGAAAAAACTCACTCGATAAGTCGTACATTTATTTATATTTAAACAATTGATTAAGAGGGCCAACTCATCGAGTTTATCTATACAAGGAAAGAAACTGGATATTATATTGTTAAGGAAGCTGTGTGGTATGGTTTTATACATTTATAGTTCATTTAAAATATTCTTTTTTTTTTTTTATCAATATGTTTTAGGTATATATTTTAGATATAAGATAATATTTTGAGTACATTTTAAGTATCTAGAGCCATTGTATTGTATACTGGTAAACTCGATATGTCTGACATTTATTTATATTATCAATTACTTTCTTTAAACAAAGCTTATCGAATTTACCTGTGTATATATACTTAATTAACCTTTTAAAAAAAATATGAACTTTTAACACAATATGTTTTCACGCACTGCTACTTGTACACTTCACATACACATATATATGTATCGAAAAATCAATTTCTTATGTATTCTCTATGTATAGGTTGATCGCCATATTAGACGTCTTGACAACGGTCTTCGCAAGCTTGAAGATGAAACAAATTATGGCAGGTCCAGGTAGAATAAATGACAGCAATTCAAATACGGTAACCAACAACAATATACATCATCACGCTCGCGAAGAATCATCGTCACCATCAACAACAAGAAAAGGCTGAAAAAGCTGAATTGAAATTAGCTAAATACGAATGCAAATATGGATGATACAAAGGTGGAAGAGCAAATTTTATAAATATCAAAAGTCCTTTATCACTGATTTTAACTAATAAAGAGTGGAAAAGGCCTCAAAACAAAACTAAAGTGTATCATTATAAACGATGACAAGGCACGTGTTTTTTTATGCAATTTGTTATAGCCATAACTTTACATCTTCTTATTAAAGAAAGTGTGATTTTATCTAGATATATATCTTGTACAAATATTATTAGTACAAGTCGGACGATAGTTTAATTGAACTAAAATCCAAAACGACATCAACAACAAATTAATAAAAAATATCTATACTTCAAAAATATTATAGATCCTTTGTTTTTAATCTTCCAGTAACAGTATTTGTGGCCTTTGTTAAAAGAAGATAAGGACAGCATGGTGCAAACCTTCTATTGAAAGGAAATGATATCGAGACTTTTTATTTTTTAAACAGGTAGTCCATTGGATATGGATTTGGCTCCAAAAAAATTTAAAAGAATAGCTTGAAAAAATAAGAGACCTTATATTAAATATTAAATTTGCACCTTTTCCTCCAAGACCGACAATCCCATTTGAAGACTCAATTGGTTACCATATAGAAATGCAAATACTTAACCACAAAGAATACCCAGCAAAGGATGGATTTGAAAACAACAAGCAATTGAGAATAATTTCCAGTGAAATATTACAAGGCTCTTTCTGATTCTATTCTATCCAAATTATAAAAATGATAAAGTTTGCGTTTATTCAAACTACAAATGACTTCGTTGAACATCTACAGCAATTGATCAAAGTTGGATTAAAATCGACAAAACCTATTATGGCTTATATTTTAATTTGTATGAACAACAATGAAATTGGCGGTACACTTTTAGATTATTTTCAGCTTGTCAGGAATCCGACAAACCTTGAAATTGTTGAATGCTGTGCTGCAGAAGCTATTAAGAAATTGTTCTTCTTATTTGTGATTTTATCTAGATATATATATCTTGTGCAAAGATTACTAGTACAAGCCGGACAATAGTCTAATCGAACTAAAATCCAAAATGACAACAACAACAACAACAACAACAACAACAATAATAATGGCACAGATCAAGAAATATCCATAGCTTCTCAAAAATATTATATAAATCTTTAGCTTCAAATCTTCCAGTAACAGTATTAGTGCCTTGTTAAAAAAAGATAAAGGATCTTATATTAATATTAAATTTGCACCCTTTCCTCCAAGACCAAAAATCCTATTTGAAGACGCAATTGATTACCATAGAAATGCAAATACTTAATAAAGAATATACAGCAAAGGATGGATTTGAAATTGAACATAATAAATTGCCAGAGCAATATTAATTGATCCTGAAATACGAATTGAATATCATGATGTATGTAAAAATTTAATGCTACAAGGCTCTTTCTGTTTCTATTCTATTCAAATTATAAAAATGATAAAGTTTGCATTTATTCAACTACAAATGACTTTGTTGAACATCTACAACAATTGATCACAAAATTGGATTAAGATTGATTTATCAAAGCAATGATTAACTAGGACTTTAAGAATGACATGACATGAAAAAAAAACGCAATGTCACATAGACAACTCTGTCATATTCAGGATAGCAAATTTACGGTTTGTATAATTTAAGCTCTTACTTGATCTGTTATACATGATAAAAAGCGAAAAAAATTCACACCTGAATGTGATTTTAAATTGGTGATGTATTTTTATTTTAATCACAAATTATAAGGTTCAAAAAATACCGACAATGATCGTTGATGTCGATGCAAACGTGGGAGGCGAAATCGATAGAAATGATGGAAGCGAGGTGTTGATGAAGATAAAACAATTAGAATAGAATAATGAAGAAGAAAGCGATGGTAGTGATAATAATAATTAAAAATGATGTTAGTTTCCTTTTTTAAAAAAAAAGAATAGAATTTTTTTTTTTGTGGTAGAAAATTCAATCGCGTGAATTTTATTAATTAAAAATTTTGAGATATATTTACGCACTTTCTTTTTCTATTCGTCTTTTTTTTATTTTATTTTTATTTAGATATATATGTAAAAAAAAAAATACATGATCTACGTGAAATTTGGCCCATCTCCAGTTCTAAACAAGTTCTCGATTTACATCTTTAGGACTTCTGTTGAGTATATGCAGATTCATTACTCTACACTTCGTCCAGTGAGTATATTACAGATAGTAAAATTATAGCAGCTAAATCAGTAAGCACAATTATAAGTTCTGCACACCCAGCCCAAAAAGGCATGTAAGTACAATTTATAAATTAAATTACCTTAAATGACTCTCACTGCACGAAGTGTACTGTATTCAATCTAACACTACCTACTTCTGTTGATATTAATAGCTTCTGCAATATAACATTCAACAATTTCAAGTTTTGTCAGACTCCTAATAACCTGAAAAACTTCTAAAAGTGCACCTCCGATTTCATCAAGATGTTGTTCATGTAAATTAAAATATCAGACATGACAGATTTTGTCAACTTGAGTCCCAATTTCGATTGTTATAAATATTCAACAAAATCATTTGTAGTTGAGTAAACACCAACTTCATCATTTTTATAATTTGGATAGAACAGAATCAAGCAAAGAGCCTTGTAATACTAAATTTTTCATGCACCGTGGTATTCAAATTTCTACTATTTCAAGATAAATGAATACTGCCATGGTCGATTGTGCTCAATAGTTTGTTGTTTTCGAGTCTATCCTTAGTCGGATATTCTTTATGGTTAAGTATTTGCATTTATATCTGGCAATCAATGAGTCTTCGAATGGGATAGTTGGTCTTGAAGCAAATGGTATAAATTTTTTTACTTAACATAAGATCCTTTGATTTTCTTTTAATTGTTTTGGAACAAAGTATATAACTAATCAAATTTTTGAACGAAATAGATCTTCTTCCACTCATAACACTGACAATCTAGTTAGCAACGATACAAGTAATGTCAGCATTATAGATAATATCAAAAATGAATCAATCGATTATTATCATAAATATAGTTATCATTGTAATTATGGTTATGGTTATTATCCATATGATATTGAGAATACGAAAAATTATTATATATTGGACAAAATAATATGTCAATGCATTAATATATGATGGCAATATTAAATCTATAAATAATAAGAGATCATTGAGATCAAACAGCAACTTGTGTTAAAAAACTTCGACCTGGATTCATTAGTAACGAGATTGTGTTTTAATGATATAATTAATTATATCAAAATAGAAAGAGAAAGTTGCTATTTCATCCATCCAGCATCAAAAAGAATGACAGAATGATATTTTTATTTGAGTAGTTGATATATTTAAAGAAATTAAATAATGTCACAACTTTGAAGCCATTTGTTAGCTACAAATTTTACATATAACAACAACATCAGTATTAAAAAAAAAGGGAGGATTGAAAAAACAACTACAATTGCAAAACAAAACCTATTCTTCTACAACTACTTGATAATGAAAAGAAAATTGAGGTTGAAGAAAAGGACAAAATCATGGTTTGAAGAATTGAATCAATCAGCCACCCAGTTCAATACAATCACACAATAATAGAATTGTAGAAGAAATTGATTTTATCAATAAATTTAAATCTAAAAAAAGAAAATGCGAGACAAATCTTGGGTAGAAGAAAATATATATCATAATTTAAAATTTGGGAATAAAAATTCTGGTTGGCTGGCTAATTTGAATTTTGCACGCGCGTCAATTTAAATTTCAAATTCACGCGCACGACATTTATTTTATTTAGTATTAGAGAATAGAAATAATGATAGATATAAATAACATGAATGGTAGATGTAATTAATAGTTTTTTAGGTGATTTTGGTACGCGAACGATGTTCTTAGTTTACTCGTTTTTCAATATTCATACTTTATAATTACTAAACCATTCTTTTATTGTGTTTTCTTTTGATATGTCTTTTTGTAAAATAAAATGTTAATATTTTTATTTTATAATCAGATCAAGAATGTTTTATTTGTGAAATTTGCTAGAAAATAAACATTGAATTGTTTATTGGTTTACTTGATTTTGAATCAAATAACAATTCATTAAATTTATTCTATTGTTTATCTATTTTAGTAGAAAGAATCAATAGATCAATGATATTTTAATAGTGTGCATTTTATTCAAAAGAATTTCTAATAAAGGATTGTGCTTTTGGATGGTAAGACGCCTCCATGATCCCTCTGCTAGTGACTGACGCAATTGTTGAATTAACTCTAAATATACTTGATTGGATTTCACTTGTATAAATGTTTCTCCCTCGAGCATAGATCTAGGAAATTATTAATTCCTTAAAAGATTAGGCATAGTAATACTATATGGTTCAAAAGATTATAAATTTTTAAGTTAATCTAATCAGTGATTGAGAAAAGATAAAAAACTTGATGCATCTCATCTCATCTCAAATACTATTACATAAGTGTTACAATTGTAATAATAGTAAAGTAGCCAAAGAAAAATTCGAATGCATAGTTGATCATTACTATTGCTATATAGTGATGAGGGAGTTTGGTTTGGTTTGGTTTGGTTTCGTAAAACCGGTTTAAACGGTTTTTTGAACAACATTACATGAGCCCTTATTAAATACCAAGAAAGGCAATGACTTTCAAACAAATAGAATTCCTTTTTGGAAATACGCCCCACATCAAAAACCAGTTTTCATTAACACAAAATCCATTTTCAGCAAGCATAGTTAAAAATCTTGTGATTGGTTGATCAATATTTTTGTTTCACGTAATTGATAATCCAATAAAAATTAGCCAAATATTTTTAAAATTTTGTTATTTATAAATTTATTAATTCATTAATTTATTTATTTATTTATTTATTTATTAATTTATTAATTTATTAATTATTTTTTCGAATCAAATTAAATTAAAGTTGAACTATATTATGAATTGGAAGTCTGTGAATGTTTGTGAGGTCATAAAATATTTGCTTATTCTCTGCAAAGGCTTTTAGTAGGTGTATAAATAATAAATTAGATCAATTTTATTACATATAATTATAAATTTTTGAAATATATATACCTAATATCCTTTTTTTGCAATTGATTATCAATTCCAGGTAGAGATATAATATGGTCTGCATCTTCAAAGTCTGGATTTGTGTTTTGTATATTATTTTCAGAAAATAATTCATTATTTATATCCTCTTCCATGTGCAATCTTTGATTGTAAGAGCTTGTTAACTCATCAATTGCTTTAGATAAATACATGAAACAATAATGGCACCTTCTGTTAATTATCTCGAAGCAACTTTCATGATAGGCATGACCACAGACTAACACATGACTACTTTCTATTGACCTATTAGTACATTCAATTCTATCACAAAAATTCTCTTGACTTGGTGGCACTGGTGTATGAAAACCAAGTGGTAAGGCTCCAATAGGAAATCCTGATTTAAGATTTTGAAAATAGTAATAGGGCTTTTTTATTCTTTTTCCTTCCATTCTTTCCTCAACTAATCCATTGTTTTTCCAAACTTCATCAAAAAAGTCTAACAAGAACAAGGCAGTTTTCTTAACCAAAAAATCCAAATCCTTTTTACTGTATGGATAATTTTGCTTTGGTGAGAAGGCAGCTCCAAGAGAATTCTCATGATGAAAATGGTCTATAAAAAGTGCATCACGTCTCAATGATTTTGCAGTAGATACCTTTGCAGTAGTCTGCCTTCTCAATAGGCTGTGGAAATTTTCCACTGGGTATTCATCAAATATATTTAGGTTGTTCTTGAGTGTGTCAATTACAGGATGTTCTATCTGCATCCAATAATGAATATCTGATAAAAAGGCCAGTGTAATTTTATCATAATTATGACAGTGGAAACGTTTCATTACAGTCCACAAGCGAAATACTGTGCTGACATACTCTTGGAAGTGATTCTGTCGAAAAAGGATATTATATATATCCAAAGTTGCAGGCACCAAATTATCTAATAGATCAAAAAATGTTACATATTGTGGAGTTTTTGAGAATTTGAATTTTTCAACCACAAATCTTCTAACTAATTCCCAGCCTGCATGAGCAAGATACATCAATGTATCTATTCTCCAAGGTTTTGGCTTTGCAGCTAATTTATGTTTCTTGTTAAAAATACTTCTATATAATTGATCAAAAAATGGCCAGAAGGTCAAAAAAACAGATTCTTTTGTATTTAGAGCAAGATGTAGTGGACCAAGGAAAGGAAACAAATGAGTAATTTTTTCTGGAATGCTTGTTTCATTTTCATTTTTTAGTTTTTTAACAATAGCTCGACAAATATATAGTTGGCCAGGAAAATCAGCTGGAATAAATATCACATTATTATACAAGTATTCTTGTATTTCAGGTAACCCAATAAATGTTTTTATTGCTTGCAGATAATCATTGGTATTTTTTAAATTCAATTCAATGAGGTCAACTAGTTTTGTCATGGTGAATTTTCTTCTGTATTTTTCATAAACATCTGGATCATATGAATGCACAGTCAAAGATTCTATAAGCTCATTTTCAGGCATGTTTATAATACTTTGAATAAATTGCCAATTAATTTTTTCACTATTGTAACTATTAACAAATGAAATCATATATTTTTCCCAAAGAGCATTTTTAAGAATTAAAGCATCAACACCATTATGATTATGAATTGGATGATTATTATTTGAATAATATGGAATAGGAGCTACATTTTTATTGTTAAATAAAATTGTTGCCATATGAGCAATTTGTGATATAGAAGTTACACTTGGCACTCTTGTACTGTGTAAATTATGATAGTCATCAATGTTGACAATTAATAGATTCTGAAAAAATTTCTTAATATAACTCTGGACAGTCAATTCATGTTCCTTTACTATTTGTTCTAATTTATTATATACTGTTTGATAAGTAGAACTAATCCCCATATTAGCCAGTGTGTTTATACCTTTAGAAGATGTGCCAGCTCCTGACATATGTAAACCAACTGCATTTTTAATACTGCTAAATTGTTTATTTCTAAGTGCAACCATCTGGTAGCAAAGCAACATTACTTTTTGTTTTAGCATTTTTTTAGTTTCTTTATTTTTTCTATCAGGATTCATAGCTTCATATAACATATCAAAAAACCCCTTGAGTTTTGGCTCATCTCTTTCAATTAACTCTATAAATTGTTTGGCCTCAAAAATCGGTTTGTTACCATCTTTTTGGTACTTAAAAAGCACATCATTCATGAGTGCAATTTGGTTACCAAAAAATTGAAAAAATTGACTAGATTCTATTAAATTTATGATACATTCAAAAACCAAATATATTTATTGGATGCAATTATGAAGCATAAAAATAACCACCATATATTTTTAAATTTTATAATTATTACCTTTTTCATTTGGCTCAACCATATATTTATCTAGATCAGCTTCTAATTTGCTTATTTTTTTTTCTAATTGTTCAACAGACATAGCTTTGTTATAAAGTTCCTGATAGACTTCTTGTGTTAAACAAACTTTTTTTGGATTTCTTCCAGTATGGTGAAAAGATCTATCATTGTCCTTTTGTTTTACTGATAATTGAGGCTTACCACAACTATAAGTAACTAAATCATTATAATGTTTTTTGCATAATTGGTCATTAATCTGTAATTTTATATTTATATTCTGAATTACTGGGCTATTACATGTTGCTTTTATTGAATTAGTAGTAAGTCTTCTATATTCAATTTTAGGATCATTTTGACCACATACTACACAAGGGCCAGTATTTTTTTTACCTATACCTTTGGTCATTTCAATAATAAAGAATAAGAAAATTCAGTTAAAAGATTATTTTATTTATTTTTTTGAAAAAAAAAAAATATTGTAAAAAAGTAATAAAATTTTTAGTTTATGTTTTCATGTTAAACTGTCGATCATTTGCATCATTTTGAGCAAAATTTAAAGCAATCTTTTCAACTATTAAAAGTCCAAACTAAATTCCGCTCAGGAAAAACTATTTTCTGCTCAGAAAAGAACTATATTATTAGTATCATCATACAAAATTTGAGGTGGTGTAAATAAGTGGTGGTATACCATTTTTCTAAGTGGGTACTTTTTCGATTTTTACAATACTCTTCACATATAAATTGTTGATCATCTCTGTTGTTTTGAATAAGCTTGATCAACAAAAAAATATACAAAAATAGATTTTTAACTATGCTTTTTCAGCATGTATCCAAATAAAAAAATTTAATTGTTTGTGTTACATTTTGAACATGTGTAACCGGTTTGAACGGTTTCAAAAACCAAACCAAAAAAAAACCAGGGGTAGCCGAGTTCAAACCGTTTGTTAGTGAAACCGCCTATCCATAACTATTACTGCTTAACAGAAATTTCCCTTGTTGATCTGATCCATCTCATTACAACACTATTTTTGGTATTACAATACTCACAATAACATAAAATTATATGATCCGCCATTAGTATTAGCATAAATACAAAAGAAAATAAACAATTAATGTAAAATATATTGTATATTTTTCTATTTTAAATTCTTTCTTTTTTTTATTTATTAATAAATTTTTGTTGAATGGTAAATAAAGAAAATTTTGACATTATTTATCTAAACTTATCCATTTTATTAATTAATTTTATTGTTATTGATCCGAGCTTTTATCCACTTTATTAATTAAATTTATTCAATCATTTATCCGAACTTTATCCATTAATGCATATCAGTGAAGCCTCCATTTTTATGAAAAATGGAACTATACAGTATATTCTGTGGATATGATACATTTATGAAAATGTATATTTATTAATATTAATATAAATGGAGTTTAAATAATGGAAAAACACTGAGACTAATCATGGAGCAAAATTTTTACAGGACAAGACTTAGTGTCAACAATTTCTGGAACTATGTGAATGAGGTTGTGGGCTTATTAAGTCCAAGGATTACTTGAAATGCTTTATTGAATCTAGATACTGAACTAAGATAACTGAAAACAAACTCTCGAAAGAATAAATAAGGACAATGGATGTTCTATAGAAAATATCAAAATATGGGTATAGGGTTTTATTAATGATCTTATTGACTGTGATCCAACTAAAATTAGTTGAGAAATGTATCTTTACAGGTATTTGCAATCCTATTATTTGCAGTTACAACCTTAGGAAGAATAATGAAATTTTTACAGATTTCTATGACAAATATGCTCAAACAACTGATACCCATATTGGTAAAAATCAAGTGTCAAGAACATTAAATGCATTAGGCCTAAAATCCATAATGAAGAAGGTAAATATACTGGTAAAACCCGAAATGTTGTATGGTTTTATATGCTACAAAGGATGAGTTATCCGAAATCTTTCAAAAAAAAAAAAGGAATTTGAGAAGTTTGTTTACTGCACCACAGTCATGTGATTATTCTGTCAGTGACATGATGTCATGTTCATTTCGAAAATTTTTATAAATTCAAATGTGATAAATTTTTGATCTATATAACCATTAGAAAGGTGCCAAAGAAGAATCTTACATCCTTCTATATATTTTTTTGGATCTGATGGCATGAGGTTGTGTCCGAGTCTCAAAGATAGTAGTTTATTTATTTAAATGTCAATAATGTTAATACAATTTCTTGTTATTTATTTATACTAAATTGTAACAACAATTTCCACAAATGTATATTTATGCTTTACTCTCAAGGCTATCATTAAACAATTTCTTGCTAAACAATACTAGCAATATCTTCTTTATATATCCTGATCACATTTATTGATTGGTGCTCTTCTTAGCTGTTACTACCTATTCAAGTCAGATACACTTCCCAAGACTACTAAATAAAATTCATTAAATATTACCTCATTAAAAGAAAAGAAATAAAAAATAATAATAAAAATAGAGACAAATACAAAATAAGAGAAAATGGTTATGCACGGAATTAGTATATGTTATCATTATTAAATATAAAATTCAAAAAGATATGACAAGGATAAGAATAAGGACAGTTCACTATTTATTAAATGACCGAATTTTCTTTATAAATAGTGAAAATTTCTTATAAAAATTATCAAAAAAATTATCATTTATAATTATATTTTCAAAGTTAGATCAATCATCTGTAGATTTAATTCATGGAATTATCATCTGAAAATTTGATTTTACCAGATGTGTTATATGGTTTAGGGTTAGAAGAATATGAACCAAATGAATTGGTATTTTAAAGCAGTCCAATATTTTGAAGATGAATCAAATTGCAAATGTCATAAAAAAAAAAGGTAGAATATGTTTTAAAAAAATTGGCTTTAAAATTTTTTTAGAAAGACAATTCCATTTAAAAGGATCAGGAGATAATCAACTAGATCTTTGTATTAAAACACAATTAATGGCCTTTAAATTAAACAATGATGAAACAGAAAGAGATGTTTATAATTATCAATATAATTCATCAATATACATTTGTCAGCCAGTTTTTTTAGAACTAAGTGTTTTAGTATAAATAAATTAAAAGCCTTGCAAAAAACAGATGTTTAATATATCATATACATGGTAATACTGGTAAAGTTCCTCAAAATAGTTCATGTGCAATTAGTAATCTCAAAATTGCACAATTATTTTTTATTGCAATACTCAAATTTACACAGACTACCACCTCCTATGAGAATGAAGGACGAATCAGAATTAATCATTTATTGATTATTTTTTGTCAAAATTGGTGTAGTTTTTGTGAAAAATTCTTTATTGCCGATCACTCTTTTTTTTACTAAATAAATATGACCTGATTTTTTTGCCAGTTATAATCTTTATAATATAAATATATATTATGCAAAAAACTCAATTTTGATTAGAGGGTACTGTGAGATAGTAAATAAGGACCGATAGAGAGGTCCCACGTTGCCGATCCAACCAAACCAAATTACTGCGGAAATCACGTGAAAATTACATCATTTCTGTTTTTATTTTTACGTTATATTTTGTGAAAATACTGCGCCACACATTTGCGCACAATTACTCATATTCATATTTCTATAATTATATTTCAAGAATTTGTTCAGCTGATGTAAATATTTACTTTAAATTATTAATTATTATTTGTAATGCTCAGTTGACCCAAATATTTATTTTATATTAATAAGCATAGTTTATTGGACAAACTAGAGTAAAAGTCATGTTATTTGTAATACCCCAAGAGGTATAAAAAGACTTGGTTTCAGACCAAGTCAAAATCATGTTCATAACAATCTAATAATTAATATTTCCTAATACACTGTAATAATAATATTATTATCGCTAATAAAACACATAACATATTTTACCCTAAAAATAACAACTTAATTAATTGATAAACCAGAAGGGGAAACCTTTGCTGTACCTAGCAAATAATCACCATTCTAATCATTGAGAAACATCTCAAGGGGACGCCTTTGGGATATAAATATAGAGAACCTAGGGAACCTTTTATCTGCAAAGATAAAAGTTATTTTTATTATTAATTTTTGACCATAAGTCAGCGAGTAGGCTGTGTGTCATATATAAATAAAGGAAATTGACCGTAAGACAGTGAGTAGGCTGTGTATCAAACAATAGAATCAACCGTAAGTCAGTGAGGAGGCTGTGTTGAGCTATAAATAACCTATTAAATAGGAAACTCAGATTGCATGCTCGCAGTACCTCTTTCTAGAGAACCCTCATATATAGCATTAGTGATAAGATTTTAACACATAATAAGCCAAAAATGTCTTATAACCACCAAATACAGCCCCCAATCCAAAAGAGATTAATGTAAATGCTAATATAATTTAGGATGAATGCAGAGATCTCAATATTTTTATTCAGAGGCTACAGGATTCTAACCTAAACCAGAGGACTGTTGTGGTCAAACTGATACATCTACACATAGTCTCTGGGATATTGCTAAATGGAAGAATGAACAATCAACCCCACTTCAGGCTCAATTATAACAAAATATCCAGGTACTCAATCAGACTAATACTCAGCTTATACAGGCCCAGAAAGATCTTACTCACATTCACCAGGATTATCTTCAGCTTAATGTTGCTCACACTCGGCTCAAAAATACCCATAATCTGTTTGTAAACATCTGGACTCAGTTTAACTTGTTCATTTTATTTGGACCAAACATCAACTTACCCTGGACCATAACTTCCAGACTGGACAATTACAAATATTCCAACAAAAATACACCCAAATGGAAAAGAAAAACCAAAAATATTGATGTTATTTGACTGGAAATTTCCCAATTGAAGCCTTGATATCCTTATTAAAACAGTATGGCAGGAGTTTCAGTAACAGTACCTAATTTTTCAGGAGATCTTGATGAAGATATTAATACTTTTATCAAGCAATTCAAAGGATTTCTAAATAATATTAATATTGATGTAACAAATGTAGCAGCAAGAATTCTCTGAAGTTGTTTGAATAAATCTGCTGGTGATTGGTATGATGAAAATATTTTTTGTAAAAATCAGATGCTAACTAATATATATGATAATCATGATACAAATACTTTAGCAAATCTTCAAGCACATACCATGGTACAGATGATTGTCACCAACAGTTTTAGACCACACCCCTCAGCACATGCCTATGCAAATATTGGAACCAATAAAGCAGTTACAGTAAGAGCTGCAGAGACCAGAAAACTTACACCTTGAACTTTATGTAAGACTGGTCTAATTCTGGTGGAGAACCTACAGATGAGGCACCTAGATTAAATGTGCTAATGGCAATATTCCTATAATATTACCTGGAATTCATATTGGTCAAGCTATTTACTACCTTAAAAACCTCTATCCTACAATATTAGAAGAGAGACACTAAGTAGAATTTGGTACTCTTGACCAGGGTAATGAACCAGTTAAAATTTTCTATGTAAAAGTAAGAAGATATGGTAAGTTACTAAATTTTGGTGATGAAGTAAATAACCATCAATTATTTAGGGAATTATCACCAGACAACCAGCTTAAAGTGTAATGAATTAATGCTGAGAAATCTTTATCAAAGTTAGTTAAAACTCTGGAGAAGGTTGAGAAGCACAAATCTGAAATGAAATTCAGCTTATTAAAAAGAACTGGATCTATTGACTATCAAGCCTAAATACAGCCTACATAAACCAATTCCTCCCAGGTTTTCACAGGAAGATGTAAATAGAATGATTAAGGATGCTATTTAAAAAGTTACACAAAATCAGATTCAGCAATGCTCCAGAAAAATTCATGTTAATCTTCCTTCTGGTCTCCCAGACACTTATAAAATTAAAAAGAACTTTGTTTTTAAAAAAAGGAAAGCTAATTAGTTTCTTTCTGATTTCGATTGTAAATTGGTTACATAAAATTTACAGTGAATCCTCCATAAGTGCACCCTCTATAAATGCACACACTCCATACTCTGCACTGCACGGTCTTCTTCCATCCCCGTCCATATAAATCACCCTCTTTAAATGCACGCCCATGACTTTCACGTGATCAATTTGCTAAATAAATTCGTGTTACATTAATGAATTGTTCAAACATTATTATATATATATATACCTATTTATCATCTTTGTTACAGATGTACACCTTTTTTTAATAATAATAATGGAAAATAAAGGATTAAGCAAGCTACTTCTACTTATAAAGAATTAAATGAATGGTTGCAAATTCTTTCTTTTTAATTGACAAAGAGTTATTAGAATAATAATGATAAAAACACAAATGGAGAAAATTATATATACGCAAAAAATTAAGGATTAAACAAAAGATAAAAGATCACAAAATTTTTTTAAAAATTTATGTTTAAAAGTAAAAAAAAATAAAATATGAAAATTCTAAAGAACAAATAGGACAAGTTAATGCCCTTGAGCGTTACATTAATTTAAAAAAAAATTTCAATGAAGCAAATCATGATAAAACAATTTTTTAGTCAATATTTAATATGTAACTTAAATATATTTAAAATCGTACAATAATTTTTATTAGCATCACATGCAACCAATAAAATTCTTCCCTAGAGCTCCGAAACGAGTCGGGTTGACCCGAACGGGTCGGGTCGGGTCATGATTTAATTGACCCGGGTTTGACCCGGGTCAACATCATGTTATAATTGTCTTTAAAAGTTCAAA